GTACGTGATAAAGGTAAAGTCCAGTGCTTAATTAAGCACCATTCCATTAAGACTTTGGAGTGGGGTCTAATAGCCCCACCAGGCGTCAACACGCCCCGGCTGCTCTACCTGTGAAGGAAGAGCTTCTTGTACACATTGAATAGAAGGCTGGGTGGACCCAGAGTCCTTGCGAACGGTGTAGAGAAAAGAAAAATTCCCTACCGGGAAAAGGGTGTGCAGCTAGACACTGTATTGACTGAGCTAACCCGGCTGAATTCAGCTGTCTCAGGATTGAGTCCATTGGCAGGCTTTCATGAACATTTTAATGAATATTTTTTAGTTCCGTCGCAGATGTAGACTTGTCTTGACCAGTGACAGTCTTTTCCTAAAGGATTTATACTGCACGCCGTTCATAGGTATTGGAAATTGGTCGTGTGTCGGAAACATTTTGAGGTAGATCGTGCTTTGAGTAGGCAGCCTTACGGAACAAGCGCAGAGAATAGATCTGGTATGGCAAGTTTGGTTCCCACCATATGTTGGCATGTGGCCGCAAACAGCAACAGAGAAGCGATGTTCTCTACGCGGTACGTGCGATAGCTATGTGATGCAACACTATAACCGCGGGGACAGGTGTTTTCTATTGCATCCTGGCCGAGGCTACTTAAAGAGCGAGTAGAATGGAGTGAAATGAGTGGGTTGGTGAGTAACTTGAGGCTTGAGACGGTAGTTAGTAGTTGTGAGACAGTCTCCAGCTGATAAGGACGTGAGCGCGGAAGTTCAGGGATCTAGGAGTTTGAAACCGTTACCAGACAACGGCTGGTGAACACAGCAAATTGCGGACAGTTAGTACATGCTGTAGTGAACTGTATATAGTATGTGAATTAGCGATAGCGTTATAATTACTTGTATTTACGATCTGTAAGTGGTCACTAAATCCAGAACCCCGTCTATAGTCACTCATGCGCATGATAATATGTTGAAAATAGAATGTAATGCCTTCTGATGTTTCACCCTTAAAGTTATTTACACAGTGCTACCATCTCGTGATTGCATGTAGGAACAGAAACACCGTAGGTGGAGTCTGCCCCGAGCTTTGCATAATGAGGGGCTTCGTACATTACAGTCTTCAGTAAATATTAGGGCGGTCAAGTGAAGGAGGATGAAATGAGTGGGACGTGTAGCATGCATGGGACACATGAGAAATAGGCTACGTATAAAACTTTGAAAGATTTGGTCATAGATATGAGGTAAAGTAAAGCTTAACTAATTAAGCACTACCCCACGAAGGCGTATGGGGAGTGGATGTATAGGTCCACATTTTCATGACCTCTGCACTAGTTTGAGCCCACTGTACCCATTGGATAGGAGGTTGGGTGAACCCCAGAGCCGGTCTTTACAACGTGGAGAAAAGAAATTTCTTGGTCCTACCGGGACTCTTTAACTCCGGCCGTCCAGCCCGTTGCTAGTCCCTGTACCTACTGAGCGATCCCAGCCTCTAATAGATACGAGAATAATGATGAATAAAATATGTCTCAGCGAAATGGAGTTTGAAGTGTTGAATTGATTCAGCCGGCTAGTAATAGGGTCCAGGTGTTAACGAGTATGATAAACTTTCTGATTCCATAAAAGGTGGGGAATATCATGACTAGTTGAGGAGGAGTACTCCATGTATTCAATTCTTGTCATGAGCAATACATTTTCCTCTTCTTCCCCAGCATCCAGACCAGTTCTAGAGCCCAGTTTCATGTCCAGCGGGTGCCAGATGTGTGTTTTCCCCGCGCCAGGCCATGAAACTGACTTCTCACCTCCATCTAGTAGCGATGTTAATGCGTGGAGCTAAACGTCCACTCTTCCATACGCCATCAGGGCATGATGCTTGTAGTTAAGGATAGACGTCTTTGCCTTTGACGTTATCCGTTAAAACGTTTTTCTAGTATGTAAGAAATAAAAGAAAACAGCGTTTAAAGATCGGAATTACATATATGTTTAGATTGTAACGCCCGCTCTAATGTGTTCAGAACATATTGTGACATGTTGCGCAAACGAGAACCCCCCCCCCACCAGCAGCAGTGACGCGGCGGGTGAGTCAGCGCTCCCCTCCCCCCGTCCGCACGGTAACGTAACGGTGACGCAACAGGATTGTTACCGTAGTAACAACTACCGCTAGCGTTGCTAGCAACACAGCGCCAGGCAACAAGGCCGTTTTCTGTATTGTCCGATCGAGGCTACATAGGGAGCAGCGAAGGCTATTCACAGTCAGTTGTACTGTAACAGTCGCCGAGTCGAGTTGTACTGAGTCAGTCAGTGAGTCCTGGAGCTACCGCCGAGTTAGCCAGCAACTAGTCAGTTGTATTGTGGCATTTGGAGTGTACTAATTGTGATACTGCAGATAGCAGTAATC